CCCTGGTGGGCGAGCTGGCGGAGGACGCGGGGCTGACGCCGGCGCAGCTCTCGGCTCGCCGCGCCCGCCTGGTGTCGGAGGACGGCCGGCAGCATTTTGCCTTAGAGCGCGGCTCCGGCCGCCTGCTCGTGGCGGGGAGGCTGGACCGGGAGGAGCTGTGCGGCCAGTCCGCCACCTGCATGCTCCCCTTCGAGCTGCTGCTCTCCAACCCCCTGCAGTTCTTTCGGGTCGAGGTGGCTCTGGAGGATATCAATGACCATTCACCTGTTTTCCGAGGAGATCGAGTAATATTTAGGGTCCCTGAAACGAGCAACCCTGGTTCATGTTTCCCGTTGGAGGTGGCTCGGGACCTCGATATTGGCAGTAACACAGTCCGGACTTACAGCATCTCTCCCAAGAACGAATATTTCGGTGTCTCCTATGGAAGTCGCAGTAATGGAGACAAATATCTTGAACTTGTTTTGGACAAGTCACTAGATAGGGAGGAAAGGGCAGAGATGAGTTTCAGTGTTATTGCTGTGGATGGTGGCTCTCCTCCCAGAAGTGGCACCATCGAGATCTCTGTTGTCATTATGGATGTAAATGACAATGCTCCCACATTCAAACAGGACCGTTATATTGGGAAGGTTCTGGAGAATATGCCAGAAGGTTCTGTGGTTCTGCAAGTGCTGGCAACAGATCAGGATGCAGGTGTCTATGGGGAAATTTCCTACCAACTAAGTGAAGCTGCGGACCAGAGTGTCTCAATATTTGTGATTGATCCCATAACGGGTGAAATTAAAATCACAAAACCGCTGGACTTTGAGGCAGTACAAAGTCACGAACTGAGTGTAACAGCCACAGATGGAGGGGGACTCTCAGCCATCTGCAAAGTGCTGGTGGAGGTGGTGGATGTGAATGACAATGCCCCAGAGGTGGTGGTCAGCTCCTTCAGCAGTCCCCTCCCCGAGGACACAGCCCCCGGCACGGTGGTTGCCCTGTTTACGGTCAGGGACCGGGATTCTGGGGCCAACGGGAAGATCTCGTGTGGCCTCGAGGATCAGCTCTTCTTCTCGCTGCGGCCAGCCTATAAGAATTACTATGAGCTGGTGACAGTGAGCGCGCTGGACCGCGAGGAGACGGCTCGCTACATCCTCAGGGTGACGGCGGCAGACGCGGGGTCGCCTCCTCTGACGAGCACGCAGACCTTCACCGTGGACATCTC